GATGCGTTAGAGGGCGAGCCTCATCGGATCCATGAGAGAAGTCCTCAGTAAATCGGAATTCCCTTGTGTTTCACGACGCAATCTTGTTGAAGCCAGTCATGAAGCCAGTTGGGCTGAGTTGGCGTTATTTCAAAGAAAGAATTCTGAGAAGCCGTGTCATTACGTTCCTGAAACGTAGATGATGTCGTCCCGGTACCTCCTATGTTGGAATGGCATTCCTTTTTTTTAAATAGAGAATGGCGAAAAGGTTCACGTCCGTTCGCGTCAATTAGAACATCTGTGAAAATGTTGAGACCATTTGCTAAGGACGGAATCGTCTCATGCTTGCTCTCGAAAATTGCTTCTAACCTGAATCACGACCCACCAGCTATTTGTCCTCGATGGCCTGGAGATAATGTGGAACTATTCCAGGGCTCCTTGAATTTGTTTCCAAAACGTTTGGCAGCTGCGTTTCGAGTGAACGCTGGACCTGATGAAGAAAGTTAAGTATATTTAGGGATCCTTAAATGTACAAGCCTTCAATACTTTCAATGCTTCTGCGTTTCTTGTATTCTTGGTTTCTGTAGAGATGGGGAGATAAAGATGGTCATGCAACATTTTGTGGAAAGTTAATATTAGGGAGCATCAAAATTAATCTCTTGCTCTTGGGAAAACATAGGTATGTTGCAAAAGTTCCAGGACTGATTTCTTTTTAAATCAGGAGCTATTCGTGTGATTTCTCTTATGCATGCGAAAAGTAGACTCAATTCCCAACTTCCATAGACGTTCTGACACGTTCATTCCTGTCACGGCACGCGCAGCACGCTTCCCCGTTGATGTTGATGTTGACTATGATGGAAAGTAGTTCCTCTTGCATGACGTTGCGTGCCCACACACAGCACCGTCTATCCACCAGTTTTTGGACGAAAAACAAGTCACTGTCTTGCTCCATGCACCGTATTCGCCTGATTTGTCACCACCGGACTTTTTATGTTCCCACGGCTCAAAAGAGCCAAGAAGGGCCATTGCTATGCGGACATTCCACACATTCAAGCGCCTGTGACAGAGTTGATGACCAATATTCCCGAAAATGACTTCCAAAGTTGCTTCAACAACCTTCAGTGACGCTGGCAGCAGTATATTGATGCAGAGGAAGATTACTTTGAAAGGGAAATTCGCCTTTAGTTTGTAAGTACCTTCCACTATTTTTATAACATCAGTCCTGGAACTTTTGCAACATACCTTGTATAAAAAATAGTACAATAAATAGACATGGGAAAACATATATAAGTCTGTCTCCTTGCTTTCTGAAATTAACAAAAATAGAATTCGCTGTAGTATTCCACGGTGTTTATCAACTGAAGCATTAAGGTCCTCTTGCATTAGTGCAGTTTCATCTTGAACTTCATTGTTGTTAATACAGAACCCTGCCATAATTATTTAGCCACTCTCATAAATGAATGCATCTACCCTAACTTTTTTAAAGACACCCTGTATTTCAGGAAGGCTTCGGCGTAAATTGGACGTCAAACTTGAAAATGGGCGTGTGTGCACTATCACCATGCCGAAAACAAGTGGATCTGCGATGTTCCTTCTTTTACCCGAGGTCATGTCATCGGCCGTCATCCACCTGGACACCACCTGGTCAAACAACCAAGCGGACGTCCTCCGCAATGGAAATCCACCTATCCATTGCGCACATGTACTTCGAGCCAGGTGGATTTTTCCCAGGTGGATATCGCTCCAACAGGTGGAAATTGCGCCTAGGGAGACATCCACCTGGTTCCAAATCCACATGGGAAACAGACGTTTTGTAAGGGTCTCGGCATTTCTCGTGGATATGTGGCCTTAAAATATCATCGCGAAGATGATATTGGCCACATATCCACGAAGGAGATTCTTTCAGAAAGCATCTCTCCTGTGGCGGAGAGAATGCCTTCAAGAAGCATGCAATCCATTGTACGCGCCATCCTGTTAATTCAGGGATGTCCGGATAAGATATCTAAGATATCTGCATATCCCAACACTTCGATCAATAACTGCTAACCACCGCTTCATTCTCAACTCATCTCATGAAATCGGCATAAACATGTCTCATACATTAAAAAAAGAAGATCCAGACGCCAGTACGAAGGTTGAAAGAGTCTTGAATCTGGCATAATTTCGGCACGGTATTCGGCAACTTTGGGGGACGGTACCGGAGCAAGCACTCTAAGCCTAATTGAATGACAACTAATTTCATTTTTTATGGCGAAATGCAGCATCGCAAACAACAAAAAAGCCAGTTTTCGATATCTACTAGTCAATATATTTCGTTTGGTAGTTCTCTTTCCTCCGAAAACCCCCCAGGAGTTTTCCCCCGAAAACCCAGGGGGGGGAGGAAAAAAAAACACAGAATGAATTTCACATCCTCCAAATACGAGATTCAGCGTTCCCCACAACCCTGGGAAGATGGAGCTTCAAATTTGCTGGAGCGATTCTGTGGTGAGAGTGGAAGAAGTATGCCAAATTTCGTTCCTGTTGATGCCCTCAGAGAGGAATACGAGGAGGTTGAATTTTGCTGTGGGAAGGGGTTGAAGAAAGGTAATAGGCGCTACCGCGCCTATTGATTAACACGTTGGCGACAATGCGTCCTGATGCCAGGATGCAGATTTTTTTTCAATGAATACCCTCTGGAACTGTTGAGAACGTTCCAGAAGATTATGATTTCGTAATTACTGATAAAAAAAAAAAAAAATTCAACATTTTAAAAAAACTCGGCAAAAAAAAT